TCTTGGTGTGCTTACTGCAAAGAGATACTGCACCATCCTTTACGTCCAACACCTTTTTTCATAATTATTGTTATTTATTTACATTTATTTACTCCTAAGAGGTAAAATGAAATATCTGTTTTTAAGAAAGTGAAGCTTACTGTTAGATACTAACAATTCTAAGAGGAAATGGGATAATGCCTTAAAATGAACAGAGAGCAATTTCAGTTGCACAGACCTGCTCGTAGTAAAGTCCTCCGGATGACTGAAACCTAGAATGCACATGGGGCATTATTTAGATTTCTCCATGGCATGTACATTTTCTAGATGTAGTAGGGTTGGCAGGCATTGTAAAACCATAATGGTTTCTAGCAATTCACAGAGAGGACTGATGTCACTTCTGGGTTTTCCCTGGAAGTGACATCCTGCCACCACCTCAACAGCAATTTAAAAAAATTTCCCCCCATCATTACTCCCAGTAGCAGCGGGAAGAGAGGGGTTGCTGGCTGGAGGTCTCCCTCAATAGCAGGACGGCTGGAAACTGTGACACGCAAAGAGATTTTGATGTGTTTCCTCCCCATGGATTCTACAACAGATGTTCACCTAAACATTCAAAATGACTCTAAGAAACTTGTGTTCTACCTTATGCTTTATCCATCTATATATATAAAAGAAAGTCCCCTTATCATAAAATCAATGCCCAGGCCAAACCGCTGGACCTAGAAACATGAAATTCAGGGAGAGTGCTCCTACCATGATGTAGGTGCTCACTAAAAAGGGATTTTTAGAAGTTCGACCCCCTAAGGGGTCAAAAGGGGTAAAATGTGCTTCCCCCATTGATTTCTATGTAGCTGCCAGGCTGCTGCCTCCTTGCACCCCCCACTCTCTGATTGGTCAGCTGCAGAGCTCAGTGTTCTGAGGTAAAAAAACAACAGTTACAGGAGACTGCAGACAGCTAACGACAGTTGAGGAAATCAGGAATGGCCAACAACCATCTGTGAGGTGCAGTAATGCTGCTGGTCCAGCCTCTCTGATGGCTTCCAACACGCTCCCCCCACCTCCTACACCTAACAGTCAGTTGTCTGTCAGGTGCAGCCCCACCTCCACAGTGGCTTCTAATAATCCTCCCCCTCCCGCACTGGACAGGCAGCTGCCTGTCAGGTGTAGCAGAGGAGGTGGGATGGCTTCCAACACACTCCCCCACCTCCTACACCTAACAGGTGGTTGTCTGTCAGGTGCAGCAGCGGTTGCAGGGTGCTTAAAGCCATGAGGGAGCCCGCCCCAGCAGTAACGCCTTAGTGATCCTGCTGGCCCCGCTTCCACTGTGGCTTCTAATACTCCTCCCCCTCCCCCTCCTACACTGGACAGGCAGCTGCCTGTCAGGTGTAGGAGAGGAGGTGGGGTGCTTACAGCCGCCGGAGAGGTTTGCTCAGCAGGATTGCCTTAGCACTGCTGCTGGCCCAGCCTCCCTGATGCCTTTAAATACAATCTGCCCCCAACACTAGACAGGCGGGTGTCTGTCAGGTCTAGGAGCAGGGCCAGGGTACTTTAACCCATCAGGAACACCACCCCAGCAGGATCACCTTAGCGATACTGCTGGCCCAGCCCCTCTGATGGCTTCCAACACACTCCCCCCACCTCCTACATCTAACAGACGGTTGTCTGTCAGGTGCAGCAGTGGTTGCAGGGTGCTTAAAGCCATGAGGGAGCCTGCCCCAGCAGTAATGCCTTAGTGATCCTGCCAGCCCTGCCTCCACAGTAGCTTCTAATACTCCTCCCCCCTCCCCGTCCTACACTGAACAGGCAGCTGCCTGTCAGGTGTAGTAGAGTAGGTGGGATGCTTACAGGTGCCAGGGAGATTTGCTCAGCAGGATTGCCTTAGCACTGCTGCTGGCCCAGCCTCCCTGATGCCTTTAAATACAATCCCCCCCAACACCAGACAGGCCAGTGTCTATGAGTTGTAGGAGCAGGGCCAGGGTATGAATGTTTATGGGGAGATAGTAAAGGACATTTCTAGGAGCCATTTCTAGGAGAATCAGGCCATTCCTGATTTTGATACATGCCTCCCTCATGAACCTGAAGAAATGTCCACCACTTGCTCACACCAACTCCCCCTCACACCTCTCACCTCTTACAGCCCCCAAGAAAGCTCCTGGCAAACATTGAGCCAGATACACGAATGCCACAAGGAGGAGGCAAGTTAGGAATATGGCAAAGACATTTGCACATAGTACTTCTGCAGTGCACTGAGCTGCACAGGCCAAGTACCAACAAGATCACCCTGAGGTGCTGAGAACAACACAGTCTCCATATGAGCAAAACAATCCAGGGACACAAATAGAGAGGCCATCACTTTCATGGAAGGTAGCAGGAGTGGACTGAACAGATGACTGCTTCTTAAATGGACAGTTCTATGTGGCCTGCTCCAGAGTGAGCTCATCAAGCAGCCTGGTGATCCTAGCACCTGAGGGCAGAACCACCAATGTGGTCTAGAGACAGGTCCTTCAGTAGAGGGGGGGAAAGTATGCATGTCTCACTTCATTTCTTACACTTCAGTCTTCTCCATTAGAATTCCTACAACAAATGTCACATTTCAAATTTCACATCATCAGTATTATAACTGGATTTACGGAACATAAATACTGGTATTATAACAGGATTTACGGAACTTAAAGTATCAGGCTAGTTTTATATAGTTGATGCAATGGACTATCTTCTGCTCTCACTACAGCAAAACAGTGAATTTTTAAAGCATCCAACAATTTTAATCTTCACCCCCCCACACACACACACTAACACCTATTATGGCTACTACTCTACAGTATGCCAGCGTACTTTAGAAATAAACTATTTTTGCTAAAACTGCAGGACATAAAAAAGCAGAAATCCCCACAGAACAGACATTATATATTTATGATGCTTCTTGCAATATGTAACATAGAACAAACCTGTTTTTAGTTTCTGATATTTTATTTGTAAAGTTGTCGTCCTGAATATCGATCCTATCATTTAAGGCTAGTGAAGCCTATTTTCTATGTGCTGGGGGCATGTAGTTAGAAGTAAGTGCATGCTTACTTGGAGGTAAGTACCAGTGTACTCAGTAGGGCTTATGCTCAGCTATAGATGCACAAGATTTCAACCTAAATTTTACAAGATCCAAGCTATGAGGAAATCCCCCCCCCAAAACCCCACCATCCTGAGGGTCTTTTTTAGCACATAGTAGTGCAGAAAAGGGCAACTCGAATGATAAAAGGGTTGGAACACTTTCCCTCTTTCCCTACGAGGAAAGGTTAAAGCGCTTAGGGCTCTTTAGCTTGGAGAAACGACGACTGAGGGGTGACATGATTGAGGTTTATAAGATTATGCATGGGAAAGAGCAGGTAGAGAAAGAGGTACTTTTCTCCCTTTCTCACAATACAAGAACTCGTGGGCACTCCATGAAATTGCTGAGCAGTCGGGTTAGAACGGATAAAAGGAAGTACTTCTTCACCCAAAGAGTGATTAACACTTGGAATTCACTGCCACAGGAAGTGGTGGCGGCTACAAGCATGGACGGCTTCAAAAGGGAATTAGATAAGCATATGGAGCAGAGGTCCATCAGTGGCTATTAGCCACAAAATATAGATAGGGGCTTTGGGTCAAGGGATGCTCTATCTTCTTGGTGCTTGCGGGGGGGGGGGTCAACAGTGGGAGGGCTTCAAATGTCCTGGCCCCACTGGTGGACCTCCTGATGGCACCTGGTATTTCTGGCCACTGTGTGATACAGAGTGCTGGGCTGGATGGGCCTTTGGCCTGATCCAACATTGGCGTCTCTTATGTTCTTATGTTCAGATATTTTAAGTGCAACTGTCTCGACAGGCATTAATCAGAGGACAGTTGACATCATGGTGTTGGATTGAAATAACTGCAAAGGGAGCTCCGCTCACAGAGCAGAACTTCCATGCCTTCCTTGTCTTGCTGCAAATATTTGTTCTTTCACAATCACTCCTGAAGTTTGGAAGATGTGCAGAAACAGCATGTTGTATGGTGCTGATTTAAATGTAGGACAATATATTTTGTAAACCATTGCACAACTACAGCTTGAAATACTTACTAAATTTTTGGTTTTGACTGATCCTAATAAAGGTATTATTTCAATGTCCCGATAATTATCTTCTCAGTTGCAAACAGTCACCACTGGGTGCTGCTGTTGTGCTGTACTGTTGAAACGGGGAAAACTGTCAAACAGTGAGAAAAATTTTTAAAGCATGGTAAGGATTTTTAAAAAACCACCAACCACCAGGCTGGCTTGGCTTGCCAATATGTACAAGTACATTAAGGAGGTATATACACCCTAGTTCACACAATTTCAGTAGACTTTGAATCCCTCACTAATCATTCTATAGTTTAAGAATGGGGTATGTATATTGTTTATTAGTAATGCTCATTTGTTTATTAGTAATGCTGGAACTAAACCTATTTTCAGTAGCCCCACCACTGCCTCATTGATTTTATTGGCACATGGAACAGTCTAGCCAAGAATATGTTTGCTTGTGTCACAAACATGTTCTTGTCTAGACTGAATATGTTTGCTTGTGTGTGATTAGGGGGAACCTGTTGTTTAGAAATTCACAGCAACGGGCCAATAAAAGCAGATGGTGTTTTAAAAGAAACATTGCACAGTAATGCGGACGAGAAGGTAAGAAAGAACACTTCCTATCTTCTCTTTGCCCAGATCCTTTCTAACTCACTAATATGTATTCTAACGAGAACACATGCTCTTCTCCTACAACTACGAGACAATTGCATGGCTCGGCAAACTGCTGATGCTTTCAGAGAGAAACAGAAGATGTTCTTTGGCCACCACTGGGTGACTCAACATAGAACAGAGTGTTCCTTGTTCAACGACTGACCCATCTTTACAGGGTGCTTTTGTGAGGACATGTTTTGAATGGCTCTGATTCAATCCTCATTCAAATATCTGCCATTTCCCTTAATTGTATATTTTCTGTCAGAGTCTTTTCTCTTCTCCTCCCTGCCAGGCACATTAGCTGGAGTTATAGATCTAGCTGTGGACTGGATGACAGATCTAAAGGAAGGAGTCTGTTTATCTGCATTCTGGTATAGCCACGAGCAGTGCTGCTGGACATCTAATGAAACAACATTTGATGACAGAGACAAGTGTCCTCAGTGGCAGAAATGGTCTGAACTTCTAGTTAATCAGTCTGAGGTAGGCGTAAGAGTGGCTGTAAGGTAATTTTCATGTAATTTTGACATGGTTCTTTTCTGCTTTTCTTATTCTGGTAGCAATACGTTTTCTTAAATATATCTATCCCAACAAAACTAAAAATGAGTCCAGCAGATAAGCTTTAGTGCGGCTTGTTGAAAGGGAAGGAAAATGAAACCATTCTTATTAAAATCGGCTTTGTTATCAAGATTACTTTGTTCAAAACAAAACAAATGTTGCAAAATTTCTGAAATGTAGATAGATCAAGATGGGCAGCCATGCTAGTCTGTTTGTAGCAGTAGAAAAGAGCAAGAGTCCAGTAGCACCTTAAAGACTAACAAAATTAGTGGTAGGGTATGAGCTTCCATGAGTCACTGCTCACTTCTTCAGATACAGCTAGAATGGGAGTCCATCTATGTTTATATCTTGGACAGTAGAGTGATTTCAGATGCTGAAATGACCATAACAGGTAAATGACAATAGCAGGCTTGATAGGGTTAGGTGTGATATGCAGAGGGGTAGTAGGCATGGAGAAATCAGCATTGGTAATGAGACAAGAAACCTAGGTCTTGGTTCAGTCCAGGAGGATGCATTGTCTTGTACTAGAGAAGAGCTATTCCCACTAATTTGGCCTGTGTCTATTGGTGAGCACATGCAAAGGTTTGCGCACATTCACATAAACTGATGTCCTTTTATCTGGTACCTTCATAATAATTATATTCCAGACAGATTTACACTGAGATCTGGAATGCAGGAAGAATGACTGTATGAATGGAACAATGGGGCTCTGGACATTGACACTAAGATGCTTTTTGTGAGCATGTGCAAGGCCAGAGTTTCATCACCCCATCTCCTGGTACTACATTAGCCAGGGAGGCTTCAGATATGAGAATGGAGCAGGTTCTCCCTCCTGTTTCTCTGCCTCTCCAGCACAGACTGGGGAGAGAAGCTGGGTGTCTCCCCATCAGCATCCTTCTGGGCCTTGTTAAAGGGAGTGCCATGAACCACGTATGCTCAGTGTCTGTTGCTGACATCTTGCAATGGGAAAGGCCTTTGTGATAGGCTGGGAGCTGTCCCATCTACTGAGGCAGCTCCACTTTGGTCCTTTCCGCACTAGACCTTAAATCCTGGTTCAGCCTTGTCCCCAAACTTACATTCTATCCTACACTCAAGTTCACCCCTGTAATTATCTCGGGGTATTGTTTGTTTCCACATTACATTAAGATCACCCCGGTTTTGCCCCACACTTGTCCCGGGATAAATGGATGCTGTTATAACCAGGGATAAATGCAAGGTATCGTGTCCCGATTTGAACTCTGATAAAACCAGGGATGAGATCCAAGTGCGGAAAGGACCTATATCTCTGTTGGAAAAGGCAATGTCTGGTGTACAAAGAAGAAGAAGAAGAGAAGACCTTGCAGGGGGCAGCACGAAGACAATTCGATAGGATAGTGAAGTCAACACCTTTTCTCCTGTTAAGTGTCATTCCTTGTCTGTCTCCAGATTGCTACTCTCAGGACAATTTCCCCCTTCTTCTCAAAAGTGCCACACTCAGTCTTACCCTCTCTCTCAGTTAGAGATGTAGTTAGGAACCTATCTCTGTCTCTCCTCTTTCCTATCAAGTATATAGCTCCACTTTGGTCCTTTCCGCACTAGACCTTAAATCCTGGTTCAGCCTTGTCCCCAAACTTACATTCTATCCTACACTCAAGTTCACCCCTGTAATTATCTCGGGGTATTGTTTGTTTCCACATTACATTAAGATCACCCCGGTTTTGCCCCACACTTGTCCCGGGATAAATGGATGCTGTTATAACCAGGGATAAATGCAAGGTATCGTGTCCCGATTTGAACTCTGATAAAACCAGGGATGAGATCCAAGTGCGGAAAGGACCTATATCTCTGTTGGAAAAGGCAATGTCTGGTGTACAAAGAAGAAGAAGAAGAGAAGACCTTGCAGGGGGCAGCACGAAGACAATTCGATAGGATAGTGAAGTCAACACCTTTTCTCCTGTTAAGTGTCATTCCTTGTCTGTCTCCAGATTGCTACTCTCAGGACAATTTCCCCCTTCTTCTCAAAAGTGCCACACTCAGTCTTACCCTCTCTCTCAGTTAGAGATGTAGTTAGGAACCTATCTCTGTCTCTCCTCTTTCCTATCAAGTATATGAATTCCTAAATAAACATTTGTTGTTCAGTCGCACAGTTGAGTCGGACTCTTTGTGACCCCATGGACCACTTCATGCCAAGCCCTTGTCTACTCTTTAATCAGGTTGTGCACTGTTGCTGTGTTAATTGTTCTGCCAACAGTCTCCACCTCCCTTGGAGCTGGGCCGAACCACCACTGAGCAGCTGTTAAGGTGACAGTGGCCCTTCAACAGGTGTCTTCTCTGTTATTTCTGCCTAAAAAGGCAGTAACATGCCCCTCGCTCTCAGCGGCCTCCTGGAAACTCTAGGGACTCCCCTGCCTCCACCCCAGGCACATTTCTTCAACTAAACTTAAGGGCAAAGAATGGGTTACTTTAAGGGCAGGCATATTACTTACATTCCTTTCAGTTTGGTGCTGCAAATTCAGAGGTGACTACTTAAAAAAAAATTCACAGGAATAAGTGACCACAAAGTGAGAAATCCTCCTGGTTCTTATAGAACCATCTGTGTATGATCCTTTCAAAAATTAAGCTGTATCTATCCCATTACTATATTTTCTTTTCATGATGAGGGAGTCCATTAGAGGGAACAAGGAATCTCAAAAATGATGCAAGGATTTCTCGCTTCATAGTAACAGGAGCAAGTTCCATCCCATAGTCCTGGAGAGTGTTTAATGATTAGTCTTATTTATAACCCTACACCCAAAGGTCTCCAGTTTTAATTTCATTGTTGAAGCTAGTATGCTCTATGCATGGGTGGGTGGGGGGACTGTGTGTTTCTCAGACTCTCCATGCTAACCTTTTTTGATCCTTTATCGGTAGTTACTTCTGTGCTTTGGGGCTCCTCACAAATGGGTTGTTCCAGGAAATAGTAATCCTAACCAATCAATTTTTTTTTGTGAACATGATGACATCACAGACCAAAGTAACAAATCACATTTGGCTTGGTGATGATGTCACAAAACCATTGAGTGAGGATAATATGTACTCGATCATCATTGCCCTCACTTTGAATGAGCGATCACTTTTGCTGCAACTCCCCCCTCCCCCCAATCCCTGCCCAAAAGCTAAAACAAAAAGTATTCTGAGTCCTTGGCTTCTTCCTTCCTTCTCTGGGACTTGTAGAAAATTCTTAGCACTAAGAATGAATGTCTCAGAGCCCCCTTTGTAGACAATTCTTAGAGGTCAATGTTTTAGATGTAATTTATCCAGACTCTTCTTTTTCTGTGTCTGAGCAGTGCTGCTTGTCATAGCTGATGGAATTTGACAATGTGAAGGCATGGATACAGATGGATATTTTTGCAACATAACTTTTCCCTGTGGTTTTGGGCCTTTTAGTAGCTTAGAGCTCCTTATCACACAGGACTTATGCATTCTGACACTTGTCAAAATTGTTTTAATTATCATCATTTTTGTGAAAGGACATTAAAGCAGATGCTTGATGTGAAAACCTTGAAGCAAGTTGGATATCCCCCAGACTGTATTTTCCTTCTGTATTCCACTCTTCATGGAGATAATATTACCAGTATAGAACAGACTCCAAAGTGTCCTTTCCCATGGCTAACATTTGTTCAAGATCAGCCTGATCCTTTTGACATTCCAGAAGCAGATTTGAACCAGATCATATAGCAGCACTGTACTTCGGGAGTGGATAAATATGATAAATTCTCACCCACACTTCTGCAAATCCACTTATTATTTTGCCACAATTTTGCCTTGCTTGTAGGGAATACCCAGCCAGTGTGCCAGTTTGAAAGGCAGTGTTGGGCTTGGATGTGAAAAGCCCTGCTTGTCCGTCATGAGATGGTTTAGGAAAGTGGCTAAAGAGTCAGAGTAGGATCTGAGGGACGTAGGTTCAAATCCCGCAGTGCTTAGCTGTGAGCCACTGGCTGACCATAAGACAACTGTGTAGTCAGTCTAACCTACCTCACAGAGTTTGTAAATATAAAGTGAGGGAAGGGGAAAACCATATGTATCAATCACCTTGAGCTCCTTAGAGGAAGGCTGGAATGAAATGTAATAGATAACTAATAGCCAGCTCACTGGCTTGGATCCCATGATCCATGAGCACAAGGATCAGGGCTATTTCCCATGTTCCACTCCCTGCAAGAAGTTCCATCTGATTCCAGTAAAGTTCATTCCTGAGGCTGCAGGGCTTAGGTGGGCTAATATTTATTCAGAAAGGGTATGTCCTCCCTATTCCTATGACCTGCCTGAGGAAGCTCACTAGGTAAAAACAGTACAATAATGAAATCTGAAAACCACAAGCATAAAAAAAAATCTCAGTATGAAGATCAGCAATAAAACAAGCCAGGAGCTTGCTAGAGGCATAAACACAGCTTTAAACGTAGCAGCATAAAATAGCATTTATAAACGATAGAAATGGAACCCTTCAGATAAAAGCCTGGGTGAAAAGAAATATTTTGCCCAGGAACCTAAAAAGACAAAAAAATAGGTGTTCCCAATGTTTCAGGACCCACATGGACTAAAATCCATGCAAGGCAGGGGGTTTTACTGGGGAGGGGGGAAAGGAACAAAATCACTGTCTCGCCTTTCCCCCCCATCAGTACAGTTCTGCTGATGAAAGAGGCAAAGAAGGCAATTTTGCTGCCTTCCTCCTTCATAGTGCATCCCCTCCCCACCTGGAATGGCATGGCTTTCAGTTCACAACCCTGTCACAAGTTATAGTGAATGCACATACAACCTGTATACACGTGGTTTTTTCTTTATATGTACAATTCTCCATATTACATTTAACACATGTGCAGCTGAGCATGTGACTGAAACCACACATACGTTCATATACCGGTTCCTGGTTTCACTTGTAATGCACATTTGCTTGTTTCTTACAAGCAGTTGTATGCATGTACATGCAGGGTGTATGTACATTCACTGAAACATGAACAGGGCTCATATTTATTTATTTTATTTTATTACATTTATACCCCACCCTCCCCGCGAACGGGCTCATATGTGCTCTGCAACACTGGGAATCAACTTTCATAGAGTGAGATGGAATTGTGGGGGAAGGGGAATGTGGGAGTGATCTGTGACCATCAGCGCCTTCCATTGATGGATGACAGGTCCATCCCACTATCTCCGTCTAAACTACTCTACAGAATTTTGGTAAGGCTAAAATGCTGCTTCAGTTCTTTGGAGGAGTAGTGAGACAAAGCTTTAAATGCCCATGGTGCAGTTTAAGCATTTTATGCCAGGGCTTATTTCGATAGATTTGGATGAAACTGGTGTCTTTGCTGTAAGCATGATCCTTCTTTGGATTGTTTAGGTAATGCAGTAAAATGAAAGTAAAGATAAAATGGTAACGAAAAGATACTCTGAAGAGTGGTTGAAAGTGCTTTGAACATGTTTTCTGCATTTTGAGCCATTTGCTTTCAAGATGTAGAATTGTATATTTAAACCACTTCCATAGCACTTAGTGACAGACTTCACGTTCCTGGGATCCCAGATCACCGCAGACTGTGACAGCAGCTATGAAATTAAAAGATGCCTGCTCCTTGGGAGGAAAGCGATGGCGAACCTAAACAGCATGATAAAAAGTAGAGACATCACCCTGCCAACAAAAGTCCGCATGGTCAAAGCAATGGTATTCCCAGTAGTCATGTATGGCTGCGAGAGTTGGACTATAAGGAAAGCCGAGCGCCGAAGAATAAATTCTTTTGAACTATGGTGCTGGAGAAGACTCTTGAGAGTCCCTTGGACTGCAAGAAGATCAAATCAGTCAATCCTAAAAGAAATCAACCCTGACTGTTCCCTGGAAGGCCAGATAATGGAACTGAAGCTCAAATACTTTGGCCACCAAATGAGAAGGGAGCACTCACTGGAGAAGACCTTGATGCTGGGAAAGATTGAAGGTCAAATTAGACGGGGCCGGCAAAGGATGAGATGGTTAGACAGTGTCATAGATGCAACGAACATGAAGTTGAGCAAATGTCAGAGGACGGCGGAAGACCGTAAGGCCTGGCGTGATCTGGTCTATGGGGTCCCGAAGAGTCGGACTCGACTGTGCGACTGAACAACAACATAGCACTTAAAATGTATATCTACCTTCACTCTGTGGGACACCTACTTTTCCCTTTTCCCTTTTAAAAGTTACTCTGTTCAGATTTCAGGGGGGAAATAAGACAGTCAAATATAGCACAGCTTTAACTTTACAGGACAAACAGGTCTTCTACCAAAAAATTTTAAGAACCAAATTCATATCTGCTATCAGCCCCTTTTCCCCTTTATGATGTGATTTTCATTTCACACTGGGCCACGGATAGCAAACAAAGTCCATCCTGTAACGGAGTAATGATTATTGCCATAGCTGGCTCTTATTTAAAGCACTATGAGAATATATGCATTGGGAAATTAAACTAATGCTCTTCAGCTGTGGCAATAAGAATGCACTATTCTAGTCAAGGAATCAGTAGGTCAACAATGGAGATGCCATTCATCTTTTCTTTTGCTGGGATTAGCAAATCCAGCTGTCAAAGTGAACACGCAGAAGAGTTATCCAATCAATCATCATTTTGTACAAATGGGTAAGAAATAAGAATTGGACAGAAAAGGAACCATGGCTGCGGAGGCCATCTCTGTTTACGATTTGAGCAGAGCTTCCAGCATAAAGCTAAAGATGTATTGGAAAGTGCTGTCAGATTGCGGCTGATTAATGGCAACCCCACAGGATTGTCAAGGCAAGAGACAGTCAGACTTCCTTGGCGGTCTCCCATCCAAGCTCTAACCAGGGCCAGCCCTGCTTGGTTCTGAGATCTGATTGAGATTGGATTGACCTGGGTAGTTCATGTCAGGAATAATTAAAGATACCCACAGCAAAATAAAAGAGGCACCCTAAAGACTAATAGAATTTACTCTAGCATAAACCTTTGCGAATCAGAACTAACGTCATCAGTTGCCTGTCTGACTCTCAAAAGCTGGAATACATTTTGTTAAAGGTGCCACTGGACTCTTGTTTTTATTTTGCTGCTTCAGATTAAGATGGCTGCCTATCTGGAAACCATGGTTGAATCGTCTGACTGGAACTTTCATCTATGTCCGGAAATAGGTTAGGGCGCACACCTGGTTGTGACAGTAACCTGGATTCTGCCCTTGTGGCACAGCTTTCACAGGTGCAAAGGGAGGGCTGATTCTTTTCCTTCAGCAATGGTTTTCCAGTATTCTAAACTCTTTTCTCTGGTGGTGGTAGAAGGTGCCATCAAATCACATCCAATTTATGGTGACCCTGTAGGGTTTTCAAGACAAGAGATGAATAGAGGTGGTTTGCCACTGCCTGCCTCTGCTTAGCAACCCTGGATTTCCATGGTGGTTTCCCATCTATGTCCGAACTAGGGCTGACTCTGCTTAGCTTCCAAGATCTGATGAGATCAGGCTACCCCCGGGCTCTTTTTGTAGCAGGAACTCCTTTGCATATTAGGCGACACACCCCTGCTGTAGCCAATCCTCCAAGAGCTTACAGAGCTCTTCTTACAGGGGCTACTGTAAGCTCTTGGAGGATTGGCTACATTAGGGGTGTGTCGCCTAATATGCAAAGGAGTTCCTGCTACAAAAAGAGCCCTGCCAGCCATCCAGTTCAGGACACCCTTTTCTCTAGTGAGGATTAATTCTGGTATCTGGGCCTTACCTGGACAAAGAACGGCTTTAAAAAGTGCAAGTGGGGGAAAGTTCAGTGTGTCCCTCTTGCCTCCTAATGTTGCATTTTCAACCACTTGCTTTATGGAGATTTGTCAAGAGGTGGTTCTGCTGACAAAGTGGTTATCTTTCAGACAGCTGGCAAAGAATGGGAGCAGTTAATGCGTATTTACCAAATGTTGTGTCTGCCTCCCCTCCCCAGTGCTTCAACATATCCTTGAAGCGGTGTTTGAAATATATTTGTGATTGCCATGTGTCAGGTTTATAGTTTGGTGCATATTTATTGTGCTAGGTTTTTTTGGTATGCTTGAATTGCATTACTGTAGATAACATAAAGCAGACAGACATACTGTTGATGTGAAAACCAAGTCATGCATACACTACTGCAGTAGCCCTGTCATTAAGGCCAATTATGAGAAATTCTCCACACCACCTCATTTACTTAGCAAGTGGCAGAAACTTGACACTTCTTGTATTTGTCTAACAGTAGTTTTTTTTCCCCTTATTGTTTTTCTAGGGTGCAAGCGCTTACATTCTAAATTATTTTCTTTACATTTTGTGGGCTTTATTGTTTGCTTTCCTGGCTGTTTCCCTTGTCAGAGTATTTGCTCCCTACGCCTGTGGTTCTGGAATCCCAGAGGTAAGTTTTTCTTTCTGGCTTGACAACTCGTTGAAGGGGGGGGGATTCTTGCAACATTTCTGGCAAATCCACACCAAAGGCTTTTAAACAGGGTGTATGCTAAAAGAAGAGGAGTTATTAATGGTGTCTTGTGTTTTTTATAGACTTAAGATTCACAGGCTTTTAAGGAAATGACTGCCCTCTTCATTATTCATATTGGTTTCACAAAATCAGAGCTGCCAATGTGTTGTTCTTCCTGCCTTCCAGATAAAGACCATCTTGAGCGGTTTCATTATTAGGGGTTACCTGGGCAAATGGACCCTCTTAATCAAAACAGTCACTTTGGTTCTGGTGGTGTCTTCAGGTCTCAGCCTTGGCAAAGAAGGGCCTCTAGTACACGTGGCTTGCTGTTGCGGCAACTTTTTCAGCAGCCTCTTCTCAAAGTACAGCAAGAATGAAGGAAAAAGAAGAGAGGTAAAGTGGATCACACAATTTTCTTGCTTCACCTCATAAAATGATTACGTGTTTTCCGGAAAGTCTGACTTCTTTATCAACATTTCCATGCTAGGTGCTTTCAGCGGCTGCTGCCGCCGGCGTCTCTGTAGCCTTTGGAGCACCAATTGGTGGCGTACTTTTTAGCCTAGAGGAGGTAAGAACTGGCTGGGTTTATAAGTAGCAGCAAACTCTGTGTCTTTTCTGAAGATATTTTGCACAAGACCTAGATTATGACTCAACTGAAAGCTCTGAAACCTTTTAAAGATACCTTGTATGTACACTCAACCGTAATTCCTGTGTTTTTTGTGATTCTAAATATTTGCAAACATTTAGTGAAGAGACCTGGGATTGTGTAGTGGCCAGGGGTCAGACTGCAATCATCCTAGTCGTCTGCTATTGTTTATTAGATGTTTCATCCTCTTGATTGCGATGATTTACACTAATTCACCTTGGGTATCAATGAGAAAGGCAGACTATAAATAAATAAAACAATAATATAATATAAAATAAATGCCACAAATATCATGAGCCTTTGAAGGGGAAATTACAGTTGTGCAAAGCTTTGATTTGGGTCAGGACCAGGAAAGGGAGTTTCGCCCTTCCACTTCCGCTTTGCTATTCAAAACACACTCCTGTGCTTTAATTAGCCCTTTTTGATATTTTTAAATATGTGCATGTGCGTGTGTGTGCACCTGGAAGTCATGGCGACCTCTGATGACTGACCCCCCATAGAGGACATTCAGAGAGGTGGCTGAATAAAGCCTGCCCTGGCCTCTGGCATTCCAGGGAGGTCTCCCATCCAAGTACTTGCCAGAGTCGACCCTGCTTAGCTTCCGAGATCTGACAAGATCAGACTTGCCCGGGCATTGAATAATTAGCCTTTTAATGAAAAGGTATAAATATTTTTGTGCACTTTTTCTTATAAAGGCCTATAACAGTGTGTGAGTTAATTTCAGTTTATGAAAACAAGTGGTAGCAAAAAAAAAAAAAAAGAAGTCTCTACCTGTATTCTGTATTGTCCCAACCTGAATGGGCTCCACATGGCTGTAACTGAATTTATAAAGACACAGGAAAGATATGATCATGAATCTTCCAATGCCTCGTCTTTTATGACCCTAAGAGTACACAAGCTGAAAAGTCCTCAGTTCATATACCAACTCAAGCACAGACTCCCAAAGCAAGCCACTGTTTCTGGAACTAATGACACAGGTCAACCTTACAAAAGTTGAGGATTCCTAAAATAATGTACTAAATCTTACAGTAAGGATTACTGAAATAATATGTGTTTGTTGCTATGGTCATTCTACTGAACTTATAAATGCTAGGTACTACTACACTGTTCGTGAGCTGGCTATACTACTTTGTGGTTGTGGGGCAACGGACACTTATTTATAAGATGACTAAAACCATTAGTAGTTCGTAAAGGAATGGCTCATCCTTTGCCACAGTTGCAGAAAATCTGCAGGTATATCTTAACATTAAAATAGTGCCGGGTTTTTTGTTGTATGACTATATGTAATCTCATCTCAGAGTTTCAGAAAAATAATTTTACTGACTTACAATAATATATCCTTTCCACATACATGGCAAGATAATATCTTTGAAATAAATGGAGAAAGACATGATTTAAATTGCATTGTAGCACAGTAACCAATGGAAACACTGCAGTTGTCATTAACGGTTTTCATTTGCTCTTAGGTGAGTTATTATTTTCCCCTGAAGACTCTTTGGAGATCATTTTTTGCAGCCCTCGTTGCCGCTTTTACCCTGAGATCCATCAATCCATTTGGAAACAGTCGCCTAGTTCTTTTTTATGTTGAGTATCACACGCCTTGGTACATGGCCGAACTTTTCCCCTTTATTCTACTTGGAGTTTTTGGAGGCCTGTGGGGGACACTTTTCATCCGATGCAATATCGAATGGTGCAGGAGACGCAAAACCACAAGGCTTGGGAAGTACCCAGTCTTAGAAGTCATTGCAGTAACTGCTATCACTGCTATAATTGCCTATCCCAATCCATACACCCGGAGGAGCACCAGTGAGCTCATCTCAGAGCTTTTCAATGACTGCGGGGCTTTAGAGTCATCTCAACTCTGTGACTACATAAATGATCCTAATATGACTCGACCTGTGGATGATATTCCTGACAGACCAGCTGGTTTTGGAGTATACACAGCTATGTGGCAGCTAGCCCTGGCTCTCATCTTTAAAATCATCATTACCATATTTACCTTTGGCATGAAGGTAAGCTTTGTGTGTCAAGATCATTTTATTGCAAATTAGATTCTGGTTTAGTAATCCACAAAACCAAAAGAACAGTTGTCTTGAAAGGGGACTGGGGCTTCTCCCACCTACAGATAGTACGTTTTACTATCTCAGGGTGAGTGCTGCTGATGTAGGGTCCTCTAAGCTAGTGGAATGCAGCCCACTGTGTCCTGTAAACCTGATGTATTTAACAGCAACATGTTTTCAAGAATCAGATTTGACAAATAAATTAATTTAGCTGGATGCTGCTCAGATCCTTTCAGTTGTGTTTTTAGAATCTGTAGAGGTAAACACATTCTAATTGCCTTAAATAAAAATTTCTGGCAGGAGGCAATTCATGGTCTTCATCAGCTATTGATCTTAAGTAAATGTTAGGTGAGCCAATTCTTATCTCCTGACAAAGGGAATATGTAACTGTCAACGTTGTTTTTTTTAAACACTTACTACAGTTGCTTCACCCTACTTTTTTGTCTTGTATGGCACAATGCATTCTAATTTGGTGCTTCATATCCTTGGTACTTTACATCTATTTGATATAGCTGGACTTCCCTGTGGAGGCACAAGCCTTTTTCTTAATCATTTTGTGCATGCCTTTCTTTTGTGCAATTATTGAGCAAAGTAATACAAACAGCACTGTGGCTCCCCCATTTCTTGTTCTGATGACATTCTGGAGGTGATAGTAAAGCAGTAAGGCCCAGTTTCTTTCTTTTGTAGCCCCTAACACAAACTGCTTAAGCTTTTCTGAAATCCTTGAAGTGAAGGAGAGCTTATGGGAAGTTGCCAGGAAGTGGAGCTGTTGTATTAACTGACCAGTCTGAAATGTCAGCCTAATCACCTTGTCAAGCCATTGGCAAGACTACAGTGGGAGAGTTTTAATTTTGTTCTGGAAGACACCCAAATACAGGCAAGTCTTGCCAGAATGTGAAACTGAACAAAACTACACTAAACGCCTAAGTCAAATTTCTGGCATATGAAGTCTCCAATATTTGGAGGGAAATTCTTGATGTGATTGCCTGTGGTTTGGTTGAAGGGATGATTTGGAGAGATTGCTTTGTTTTTAGATAAAACTTTCTTATCAGCTTGGGTAAGTTTGCTGAAAAGGCATTAGAGATGCTTGAAGAGACCAGGAGGAGCATGGCCATATGGAATGGGACTAACCCTAACCCTTTTTATTTTCCATTTCAATCTGAAATTCAAAATAAATTCTTACTGCCAGGGGTCGTTTCGTAGAAAAAGAGCTAGGGAAACTCATTAGCATAACTCATTAGCATATGCCACACCCCCTGACATTACCGGAAGTGTGTCATAAGGCCACACCCCCTGACATCACTGGAAGTGTGTCATAAGGCCACACCCCCCGCTCCCAACGGTCCCGGCCGCCGGCGGCCTTGCAGCTCCATTGCCGAGCCCCATGAGGGGCCCGGCGGTGGACCTGCAAGGCCGGCAGGAGTGCAAGGAAGCCCCGCGAAGGCCCTCCCTGGCCCCAGGCAGGCAGGGGTGGGGAGAGGCAGGGAGGAAGCAACTTACCCTCCCTCTTCTCCTGCCTCCTCCTGGCTGAATGAGGGCCGGAAGCGGGGTGGCCGGAAGCAGGGGGCGGGGCTTCATCATGTGCCCCGCCCCCTGTACCTCACCCGGGGGAACTGCGATCCCCCGCGACCCCCCCAAAATGACCTCTGTTTACTGCAAATATCTGTTTCTCCCATTTAGGGCCAAGGGAATATTTTCAGATTCTCACTTCATGGGTTCATCCTCTAAAACAATACATTGTGGACACTTTTCCTCTATAGCTCCCCCATGGGATCATTTTTAAAAAATCATCTCATAAACATCTCATTTGTGGGATCATTTGGAAAAAAAATCAATTCATAATTGAGAAACATTATGCTGGACTTGAACCTTAATAAACCAAAATCTGCTATGTATTCTCATAACACTTACCTCATTTAAATTTTCATGTTTGGCAAGATCATCCAGGCTCTCTGAGACTTTGATGCATGCCCAAAATTCAGAGAATCTTAACATTTGAATTTAATGTATTAAATAAAGTGTTTAAGTATTCTTCTTGACTCTCCACTTCTCTCAGCATTTTATTCATTATTCTTTTTATTTGTGTATATCATGTTTCTTTTGATGCAGAGATGGGATTTGTGCTCTGTTTTTCTGGGTAGGGATTGTGAGGAATTTTTATAGATGAACATTTATATACACAAAAGCTAAGGAATTCAGTATTATCTATAAAGTGCAAATGCAGTAAAAACTTCTAAAATTATAAAGGCTTTTTTATAAAATGGAGAATGTGCTGTTAAACATTACCTTTATGTGATGTCATCAAACATGCTAGACTAATCTCAGAAAATATTAAATGAATGTTATATTTTAATATTTTAAAAATTCATAGACCATATACCTGTTTAAAATCAGAAGATTCTGGTTCCACAATTCTATTAGGTTATTTTTCACTAGTTTTTGTACTAGTCCATATTATGAATATTACTAAGAATTTGTGTTTCGAAGATCATAGTTTACTGTTTGTAAAGACAAAAGATTCAAAGTCACAAATAGCTATTTAGGAAGTAGAAAAGGTGCCACATATAGGGTTGCCAGGTCCTCTGCTATGGTGGAAGACCTCTTGCTGGAAACTTACACTGCCCACCACCACTCTGTTGCCTGGCATGAGAAAAAAAAGTAACAAAAAATTGCTGTTGTTGTGTGACACTCATGCCTTTCTAGGAATCACTGGAAACTCTACCATAGGGTTTCCAGTGATTCTTAGGGACACATAATGTCACTTCCAGATTTTCCCTGGAAGTATCATAAGATACCAAAGACTAAAGGGCTGAGTGAGGAGAGGATTGTTGGTAAAAGAAATGCATTATAAGGTTTCTATATGCCAGTGCTAGAAGTCTCTGAGCCAAGATGGGTGAGCTGGAGTGGTTGGTGCTAAATGACCATTTCGATATATTGGGGGTATCAGAAACATGATGGAATGGGGAAAAATCAGTGGGACACTGTAATCCCAGTATATAAACTTTATGAACAAGACAGGGAGGGATGTGTTGTGAAAGGTGTTGTTTTGTCAATCAAAGAGGGCATATAGTCAAACTAAATAGAAAATATTATAGGAATAAGCACCCCCACAGAATTGCTGTGGTGGGGGATATGAGGTCCTATAGGTTCCTTAAACGTGGGTGCAGGGGTCATTTCATAGAAAAAGAGCTAGGGGAACTCATTAGCATAACTCATTAGGATATGCCACACCCCCTGACATCCCCGGAAGTGTGTCATAAGGCCACATACCCCGCCCCCAACGGTCCCGGCCGCCGCCGCCGGCCTTGCAGCTCCACTGCCGAGCCCCATGAGGGGCCCGGCGGTGGACCTGTAAGCCCGGCGGGAGTGCAAGGAAGCCCCGCGAAGGCCCTCCCTGGCCCCAGGCAGGCAGGGGTGGGGAGAGGCAGGGAGGAAGCAACTTACCCTCCCTCTTCTCCTGCTTCCTTCTGGCTGAATGAGGGCCGGAAGCGGGGCGGCCGGAAGCGGGGGGCGGGGCTTCGTCATGTGCCTCGCCCGGGGGAACTGCGATCCCCCGCGTTCCCCCCCGAAATGACCTCTGCGTGGGTGTATTCTGCTTCCCCCATTCAAGCCCTTGAGGCTGATCTTGAGATGGAAGGGGAGTTCCTTCTCTCTCTCTCTTTTCCTCACAACTATCCTGTGAGGGAGGTTAGACTGAGTGTGACTAACCCAAGGTCACATAGGATTGGAACTCTGGTCTCACCAATCTTAGATCAGCACTCTAACAGCTACATAGCTCACATACTGGATACTCAAGTATGAATCTCCACATGAATCTCAGAATCTAGAATAAATAAGGGCTTCTCAGATATCATGGCCTGAAAATATGGGAGTATTGTTTGGTTGGGTCCAGGACAGCAGAATTACTTCACTTTTCCATACTTGGGGAATCATCTTTATCTCCCTTGCCCTGTACAGACTCACAGAGGCAAAAAAAACCATTCCCATCTTCATGACTTTTTATCTAAAGCTGCAAGTCCCAGGATACCAAAATCAATTTAACTTCCACCATTTGGGCCACAGGCCTCTGCTCACCCCCCAACACACAACTTCCAATATTTGGGCAACAAATTTTGGATACCCCCACCCCAAACACACCAGTCTAAATTTAAAATGGAGATGGAATGGAAATAGTTCTTCATTTAAATGAAGGCCTAGATATTAGAATAACCTTGCCACCTGAGGGAAATCAGTTTTTCTCCAGTTACCACATGAGCTCTCTTTCATGTATATCTTTAGACACATATGGGAGCGGGTTAAACTGCTCCAGCTCCATGCAGTTTTTTTTAACTTGGAGAATCGCGATCACACTCACCTCCTTGCTCCGGATCGCTGCACAGCCACATTGCTCCCCGCCGCCCACATGCGTTGGTGTTGTTTTTCTCTCTCTCAGTTTGGGCATGCGCACAGGCAGCCATCTGTAGAACAGCGATTTCCTCTTCAACCCGACTGCTGTAACACTTCCCTTTAAACGTTTACCGCCAGAAATGGCCTCCCTGAGATCCCGAACTCGACTAAAGGCTAAAACTAGGCACCATTTAAACATTGTTTTTAATAACCCTGTGGCGGACCTCCGTCTATGCACACACCACCAATGCTTTTTTAAAAATGGCGGGTGAAAAATGGAAGCCTTGGGCAGCTTTCGAGCGGGGAGAGGGTTTAAACCGGAAGTGGCTCGACACCGGAGGAGCGATCACACAGGGGGGAAATGTGGCTGGAACTGGAGAATCAGGAAAACACCACTTGGGTAAGTGGTATCAAAATACTCTGGGTTAAAGCAGTTTTGAGCCGGAAAGCGACGGCTTGGAACAGGAGGCAGATGTTGACTGTGTGATTGCGCAGATAAAATCCGTTTCTGAGGCCCATCTGAACACACCCATGGACTCTCTAACTTGGGTTCAGGTCAGGAGACGCACCCAGAACCAGTGTTCCCTCTAAGCTGAGTTAGTCTGAGCTAGCTCACAGTTTTTTAGCCTCCGGCTCACAGATTTTTGTCTTAGCTCAGGAAGGATGGCTCCAGAGCAAACTAATTTATGCAGTAGCCAAATCACTAGCTCAGAACTTTAATGCCAGTAGCTCACAAAGTAGAATTTTTGCTCACAAGACTCCATAGCTTAGGGGGAACATTGCCAGATCCCCAAACAATTTGGGGGAATTGAGCTCAGCAGGGGTCATTTCGTAGAAAAAGAGCTAGGGGGACTCATTAGCATAACTCATTAGCATATGCCACACCCCCTGACATCACCGGAAGTGTGTCCTCCCCACAGCCGGCGGCGACCTCCAGCGGGCACCAGCAGGCAGCTCCAGGCCCCGCCCTCCCACACCTCACCCGGGGGGATGACATCCCCCCGCGTCCCCCCCCAAATGACCCCTGGAGCTCAGTGTTGGGAGAAACCTCTTCTCACTTCCACTGACTAGCTTGGAAAACTGACACTGTTGCCAAGGGTGGGGTGGGGTGGGGGGAGCAGAATTTGTGGTTTAGAGATCTCTTCTTGGATAGTGTGAAGCTAGAAAACCCTCTAATAGGCTACCAATAACCATGAAACAACCTTCCAAAACAAGGTTTAGAGTTTATTTAGGGAAGTATAAGAGCACAGGAATTGAAAGGGTATTCAAACATATGGACAGTGGAACTGTTAGGTTCAGAGGGGCATGTAAATGAAGAGTTAGGACAGAAAGACAAAGTGAAAGTGAGTCAAGCCTCTGGCTGAATGAGAATTCTCCACCGGGAAACAGCCACAAGGAGGAGTGGAGGAGAGGGGGATTCAAAGAAGTGGAGATCAGAGTTTTTAAAAGAAAAGGGAGGAGCAGGGGGAAGGAGTTCACCTGACCTCAGTCTGCAGAGCTGGGTAGAGTACATTGTCTGTTCTGATTATCCACAGACTGAAAACAGGGGTTCTAGGCAGAACTTCCAAAGGTCCAAAGTTAAAAATAAGAAGGTAAGGCGGTGGAAGGGATGCTCCTGAGTGGCAAGAAAATGTCCCAAAGTCCCAGAGAAAGAAAGGTGGAGCTGGCAGCATCTGCACAAGGAGAGAGGATGAGACTGCATAGTTTTGGCTGGCAGAGCAGTGTTAGTTATAAGAGCCAGTGCAAAAGAGTATCAAATAAATAATTGTAAGGTCCAGGAATTCTTGGTGAGTCTAGGATAATCTATGGGTTTCCTGGGTCTCACTGAATTGGGGGGGGGGGAAGCTTCCAAGAAAGGTACCAAAAAGCCTTTGTGTTTGTGTCCTTTATAAAGTTTATATCTCTGCTACCTGGCATTACATTTTATGACACACATGGCCGGGCCCAACAAGGTCTCATTTATTCCGGCCCTCATAACAAATGAGTTCGGCACCCTGGTCTAGGGAGTCACTTCACTCCTTCAGTTCTAATTCATCTTAAAAATGCCAGGCTGGTATTCATTGTTAAAAGTCTGATGTGGAATAAATCCATCCTGGTCAATAGATCTTTTGCCTCTAGGAAAGGGCTTAATTTTACAATATTCAGTGTCTATCTTACCAAGATGAAGGGAGCAAGTGGAACTGACTGATGTTTTCATTTCACCTTCTTCCTTTTATTGCTTTACTGGACTGATGACTTGATTGTACCTCAGGCAAGCAAGGCAGTAAATCACAAAGCCTCTTGACAAGCCAGGACACAGGAATGAATTGCCTGATTTCACCTGTGAGAGAAGTCAGGCTCCTTGTTCCAATTTTTATACTGCCTTTGACAAGTAATTCAAATTTAATCTAAATTATAAAGAAAGCATTTAGTAATAAAGTTGTGGAGTATCCTCAGTGACAGGGGCTCGTTTTTAGATGTTTTTAAATGATTTTGTAATCTTTTAACCTGTGAAACATACATTATTACCAGATTCTATAAAAAAGGTGGGGGAGACGTGCATATTTTGGGTCTTACAAAATAATAAACCTTGAGGTCGCTAGAAAGAAACACATAACTAAAATTAAACTACAATAAAATACTTTTATAAAAATCTTAATATTCCTTTTATATATTTTGGAAATTGTAAAAATCAAGTCTTCACTGTATATCACAAAAGATTAAGAGGAAACAACTGGAGTTTGAAGATAATTGTTGCATCAACTTTTACATGCAGTGATAGAAGGTAAAGGTTTCCCTTGCTTGAAAGCCAGTCGAATCCGACTCTAGGGGGCGGTGCTCATCTCCGTTTCCAAGCCGAAGAGCCAGTGCTGTCAGATATTTCTGTGGTCATGTGGCTAGCATGACTAAATGCTGAGGCGCATGGAACACTGTTACCTTCCCATCGAAGCGGTACCTATTTATCTACATGCAATTTCTTGCTTTCGAACTGCTAGGTTGGCAGGAGCTGGCACCAGAGACAGGAGCTCACTCTGTCACACAGCACCAGGGTCTCGAACTGCCGAACTACAGACCTTCCAGTCTGCAGCTCAGCATCTTAACCTCTGAACCACCGCAGTCCCCGACTTTTGCAGTGAGAGAACTGTAGTGATATTATGTTGAATTTGTAATTATTTACGATGGAGAGAAGACGCAAAGTAGTGATTTCCTCTGTCATTCTGATAAAGTTTTCTGTGAGAATCTGACCACTTCTGGTTGTGAATTAAATAATGTGGATGCGATTATTAACTGAGGGATGAAATAAATTTGATGGGTAGGGACACATTCAAAACAAAGTTCTATTACACAACAATTACACGAAAAAGTAAACAAGCAGTAACTTTTCCCCTGTAACAAACCATCACAAGACATTATTCTTTGGCTGTCTTAAAAGACCGTACTGCAAGGTACTTGTAAATTTCTCCTTATTAGGAAACTTATGAAGTCAATTATACTTCTAAACCCATCAGATCATTCAGATTTGAGTCCAGAACTGGAGAAATGTGGTTGCAACATAGCATGACTGTGGACAATGAAAGGCAGCATTTGCTTAGGGTATCAGCTGGAAGCACATAGGTATGTGTAGCAATCAGTGGGTTTCCGGTACAGTACACCACAGGACCCATTGTTACGCCACATTTACTAAATTCCTTAAACAGTGACTCAGTGCTAAAGGATTACATCTGGCATTCATAGGATTATCATTGAAATGAAGACAGATTGACAAGGCAACTTCTAGCTCAAACCTGTCCAGTGCATTGATTCGGGTCCTGTGAACCACCAGTGGAAGATGCTTACAGTCCAATGTCTTTCCCATGCCCCAGGAAAGTTTATTCCTAGGGTGGATTGAATTAAATGAGCTAATAACCGTGTAGGCCAGTCTGCTGAAGTGGGAAGGCTCTTTCTGCCTGTAATGTGAGTTGAGGTCTGTATACAGAAGGGAAAGAAAGGAACAACTTAGCCCCTTTCCCCTCCCTCTGAAATGATTTGCTGCAGTGGCAGGTATTAGCACACTCAAGTCGTCCCTCCATCCTAGGAATAAACGTTCTGAAAGTTGGAAATAGCTCTGGATGGCAGAGAGGGAATACAGTAATCCTTGCCCCTGTGGATTGCAAGATTCCACCCATCCGTAGTGATCTAGACCATCCTGGACAACAGTAGATCTCTCTGACAGCCCTTAGTCGGAATCCTGTGATATGATTCTAGTTTCTGAAAGTTTATGCTAGAGTAAATACTTGTTAGTGCCATAAGACTCTTGGTAATTTTCTAAGTGATCCTGGACCGGGGTGGGGTGGGGTAGTTAGTCAAAGTGACAACTGAGTTTTGCCTGACGTACATGTAAGTCTTCCCATACTTTAAATGGATCATTATACTAGTGAAAGCAGTAATGAGTCATAATAATTAAACAATTTTGTTTCAGATAATCAAGTGATTCCTCAGTTGTCACATTTAAATGAAAATTTGGCATCACCTTCATATGCATAAATGTCCCCCTTGTGACATTTTTTTTCTTTTTCTTTGTTTTTTGAGATCCCTTCAGGCCTATTTATACCCAGTATGGCTGTAGGAGCTATAGCTGGTAGAATAGTTGGAATTGGAGTGGAGCAGCTGGCTTATCATCATCATGACTGGATCATCTTCAGAAACTGGTGTAGACCAGGAGCCGACTGTGTTACCCCAGGACTTTATGCCATGGTGGGAGCTGCAGCCTGTTTAGGTACAATGTAAAATTTCCATCATTGTCGCATGTTGCATAACGGGGTCCCCAATGTGGTGCCCATTGGCTACATGGCACCCACTGACACCTTTCCTGATGCCCTCCAATGATTTTTAGACAGTGGGTGGGGCCAGGAGGGGGTTTTGCCTAGCAAGGGTTTCAATTGGCCATTGGAGATTTGATTGGTAGTGCAGTTTTTTAAAGATGTTGCTTTGGCAGCAGCTACTCCCACAGCACAAGAATCTTTACTGTGCGACTGAAGGGAAGCTATAGCACACATTTGTGGCTGGCTCTGCCTACAGTGTCAGCCATTTTGTAGTGGGCATTGTGGCTGTGCCCACTATACGGTGTCTGAATTCCAACGATGCCTGTATGCTCAAAAAGGTTGGAGATCTGCAGGTACAACACACTGATAGTTTTTAATTTAATGATTTATTGATACTAAAGCTAGGTTGACATGTTATAGGGTTGCCATCCCCCCGATGGGAGTGGGGGTTTGCTGCTTTTGGGGGTCCAATCTGCTGCTGGCCAGCTGGCCGTATGGTGACCATAGAGGTTTTGGCCAAATACCTTGAATAAACCTTTGTTGGTCTTAAAGGTGCCACTGGACTCAAAATTTGTTCTTCAGACTCTACAGAATTTAGAAACACTTAGGATATGTCTGTGAGGGGTCAAGGATGTATTTTGAATACATTAAGTTTACATGAAGCCCTTATTATCCTATCCCTCTACACCAATGTCACATGGATCCCATAGGAGTGGCTCTTACTGTAAATTATTACTGTTTTCACAACTAATACTGAACTGAATAAGATGAAATGGTAGTCTTCTGGGAATGTAGGTAAGTATCTTAAGGATAATAACCTGCTCCACAACTAATTGAAAACTTGAAAGATCCCTCTTCCTCTCTCTTTGTCTTCAGGTGGAGTTACCAGAATGACCGTCTCTCTTGTTGTGATCATGTTTGAGTTGACAGGAGGACTGGAGTACATTGTACCTCTGATGGCAGCAGCAGTAACAAGCAAATGGGTAGCTGATGCCTTTGGGAAAGAAGGGATCTATGAGGCACACATACACTTGAATGGGTATCCCTTTCTGGATGTGAAGGATGAGTTTACTCACAGAACATTGGCCACAGATGTTATGAGGCCTAGGCGTGGAGAGCCTCCTCTCTCTGTTCTGTCACAAGACAGTATGACGGTGGAAGATGTGGAGACATTAATCAAAGAGACTGACTACAATGGCTTTCCAGTGGTGGTTTCTAAAGACTCAGAACGTCTCATTGGTTTTGCACAGAGACGGGAGTTAATTCTTGCAATCAGTGAGTGACATCTCCATATTGTATATGCATCTGGATGTGTGATTACTTAATGGACATTTTGTCATGAACACCAGATAAGAAGCAAATTGTTTGTGAATGGGGATTGAGAATTTAACAGGAGAAAAACTTAAACTAACACATGGTCATTTCAAATCTCTCTCTCTCTCTGAAAGATCCATGACTGGTTCTTTCAGGAATAACATCATAGCATGTGTTTCCTGATGTTATTTCTTTTTGTAGGAAGAGCAATGTTGCATTACTTGATAGTAACCATATAAGTTTCTTTTGTTGATCTGAGAGGGAAGTGGACATTCTCAATTTATATATTCTTCTTTCATTTAATCTTTTTCTTCATTATGTGCAAATCTTACCATAGTTCAAATTAAATTATCTTTTTTCAACCAGATTAATATGAACTGTGGGAAATGTATGCACAAGCAAACATAGGCACAATGGAATGGGGAAAAAGGCACATTTATCATAAGATGACAGGACAGAAGAATATTCCTATAAATTGCAATAGATCTACAATAACATGTGAACTCAAAGACTGTTGGAGCCTCTTAATTTGATGGAAGGCTTGGCTTTGACAGTGTTAATTTCACCGACATTGCAAGTGAGAGATTCAAGAAAATACATAATATAGATGAGATGTGTTGGAAATCATTAGTTTTGGGACAGGAAAAGTGAGAGACAGGTTAATTCTTTGTAATGGATAGAAATGAGCTTCACAAATGTACATATTTCAGTTGAAGGCCTCTTCTTATGATCAGTAGCAATCTCAGTCAGTCTAAAACAAAGGGGACTAAGAGTTAGCTAGGATTTGTTTTTGAACACAAGATGTTTTTAGAATGTCAACATTCTTGAAATTTCAGCATGTACATTTGACACAGAAGAAAAATCAAGGTCAGTGTGACAGCCTATTTTGGGGCATTCTTCAACAATAATTGTTCAGAAGATTGCTAGTCACAGTTATTAGACTGAGAAGTTCACAAAAGCAGTTTTAATATTAGTATCAGGATACAGTTTAATTGAGAACTGTTCAGAAGCCAAATAAGCATTGCTGACAAAATGGAAAAGCTACCCCTTTCATACAGCCCTTAGGAACTCTGGTATTTTATGCTCATCAATATGTGAAATTCTCCAATTTTATCGCTTTGAGGGGATACCAGAATTACAACTCTTCAATTCTTTGTGTGTATTTTCTCTTAACTCCTTGTCACATAGAGAATGCAAGGCAGCGACAGGATGGGGTAGTCAGCAACTCCATTGTGTACTTCACTGAAGACCCTCCAGAACTTCCTGCAAATAGCCCACATCCACTGAAGCTCCGTCGCATTCTTAATCTGAGTCCCTTCACTGTCACAGACCACACACCAATGGAAACAGTGGTAGACATCTTTCGGAAACTTGGCCTCCGACAATGTCTTGTCACTCGCAGTGGGTATGGATGCATATATACATATGGGCAGAAAATGAGCTTGTAGTCAGAATGCTGACATGGCAGGAGAGGCTGATTGTGTATGCTCATTGAATAAATTAGATTTTTACAGTTTGTCCAGCAAGCATTGACAACAGAATTTTTTGACCACTGGGGCACTTCCAACGTTTCCCCACCTGATTTCTACCAATCTCTGCTTAAAAACACTATTTTTTGTTGAAAAAAACAATTAATTGTCCAAATCAATCTCCAAGCTAGAAAGCTGAAAAAGCAGTCTGGAGTATTTTAATTTTTACAGTGGTGCAGTGGGAGTAGAGCTTTCAAGGCACACGTACAACTTTGAACACACATGAAACTGCCATAATTTAGACCATTGGTCCATCAAGTTCATGATTGTCTATGCAGACTGGTGGTGGCTCTCCAGAATCTCAGGGGGGAGTCTTTCACATCACCAACTGCATAGTTCTTTAAACAGGTGATACCAGATGTTGAACCTGGGATCTAATGCATGCAGAGCAGAGGTTCTTCCACTGAGCCACAGCCTTTCCTCTTTCTTCCTTTCCTTAGCTGTTGGTCTCAAGGTTATGATGGATTTGTGTGAAAATGTAGCCAATATTTCCCCCCTCTGGTATGTTTGCGTCATGCAGACAAGCATGCTTCCGAAGGTATTAAACAGGCTTACTTCTGATAATGTGCCTGAAGATATAAGGCATGATCCAGCCAAATGTAAGTTCTTATATTTCCCATTAATTTAAATGAGGCAGGTTTGAACACATATTTTAATCTTTTCTATTGAAATTCTTAGTTTTTGTTAACGTGCCTATTATGTTGGCAAAAGATATTGTAGTAGTGGAATGGGCAAACAGAAAGAAATTAACCCAGTTTTACATCAATTAATCTAGTTTTTAAAAGAGCAAGAAGGAGAGGTAGATTAGAATACAGAGGAAACAAAGATGTATACAGTTGGGTTGATTATTATGACTTGTTCTGCTAGTGGTGGAACTTTCTTTCAACTTTCTTTCTTGTCCAGGCAGAACAGGGCTAAACCACTAGTGCAATATTTATTTACTTATCTATCTGTCAATTTATTTATTTATTAGATTTATGACTCACCCAATTCCTGAGTACACAGAGCTCTAGGCAATTTACCAGTAAAATATACATAAATACATCATAATCACTAGTTAAAATACAATAAATATAATATTACAAAGTTAAAAATTAATCCCCCGATGGTGTTAATAGTCTACTGTTGACCAGTTCTGGACCGTGTTGCCACCTTGCAAGCAGGATAGGGAGGGGAAGTGAGAGAAAGGAGGAAAAAAGAAAGAGGAAGGATTCATAGGACCCAACCTTTTTTTCTAAAAGTGGAGGAAAGAGCAATCCTAAATGCAGTATTATTATTTATTATTATTTAACATATCGCAGAGTTACACACAGGAAGCATAATATAATAATATAAAATAATATAATAATATATTAATTCATATTAAAATAATAATATTATAATATAACAAACGTAACCAAGTTCATACAACGCGTATGCAGACCGACTGGGCAATCCCCCTAAATGCTAATATCTAAATTTTCAATCCACTCAATCACAGCTGAAGAGAGTTCAAAAAGCTCAATCACATCTCCCTGGAAAGCATGGTGCTCACATTCCTTGACAGATGGCCAATAGTTTGGCAGGCTGCCTCACAATTGCACTTGGGTCCTTGTATTTTTCCCCATTTAAACATCACGTCTGCACAACTGCCAAAGCCTGTTCTTATTCAATTAGCTGTCTTCCATACTTTACACAGCAAGTAAAATCCTGCGGGCCTCTCATTCGAGTTTATCAGGTTATGGTTATTGGGTGGAACTGATTGCATCCATGTTCACAACCATTCATTCCTTAGATTGAAGTTCTGTGATTGCAGGACTTGTTCATATCTTATTGCTGGGAGTCAGGATCTTAGTCTGGATAGGCCCACATCAGCCTTGTGTTTGTAAATATGTATTTGTTTTTGTATGATTGGTCTAAGGACTGCAACAATAAACTGACTGACTTGTCTTTGTGGATGGGGAGCTCTCCATCAGTGATCTTTCTATATTCACTCAGAAGAGCATCTTGTCTTCGGAGATACAGAGGAGTGATGTGGTACAATGTGGGTAGCCAATAGGTTGGAGTGGGTTTAATACATCTGCTGATGGTTCTCATTGTTGTATTGAGTTGGACATCAAGTTTGTGGACACGGGGGTTGTTGAGCCACACTAAATCACCATATTCCTCAGTACCATACACCAACCCCAAAGTTGAGCATCTAAGTGTTGTAGCAGACACACCCCAAGTTGTATCACATAATTTTTGGAGACTGTTGTTTCACAAGCATATTTTTGCTGCTACATTGGTAAAATTATGTTTATAGCTCAAGGTCCTGTCCAGGAAAATGCCAAGGTACTTAGGTGTATGGTTTGTGTAAGTTTGGTGTCATTAAGGTAGACAGTCAGTTCATGTTTGGCAAGATTATTATTGAGATGGAAACAGGAGCATTCTGTTTTTCCTGAGCCTGGGATAAGCCACCATTTATGGTAGTCGTCAGCCAAAATTTCAAGGTCCCTAGTCAGTGTTTCCTCAAACCTTTCAATTGGTTTGTGTCTTACTGAAATTGCCATGTCATCAGCATAAGGAAACTTTCTGGATAATTTCTGGGGAACATCAGAGATGTATAGATTGAAAAGAACTGGAATGAGGAACGAGCCCTGGGGTAGACTGTTATTCAGTTTCTTCTGCTTGCTGATTGACTGACCCATAACTTGTAACAACTTGTATAGCAGATCATCCCTCCAGACTGTGTCATAAACTGCAGTCAGTTCCAAGAAAATTGCTGATGTCTTAAGACACCTCAATGAAAGTTGTTAAGCGGTCTTCACAACAACAATGGGGTCTTAATCCTGCTTGCCCTGTAGGGACATATTTGTTAATTCTGTCACTGATTCTCTTCAGGACTAGCCTCTCGAGGAGTTTATAACAAGAGCTCAGAAGGGAAATAGATCTGTAACTTTCCAACAGATGTTTTGGTTTTCCAGGTTTCAGAACAACAACTATCTTTGCTTTTTTGAATTCCCCAGGGAGTCTTCCTGTTCTCATGATGTCAGTGAGAAACACTGCAAGCCACTTCTTAGTGAATGTGCTGCTGTTGGTCAGGAACTCATTATGGATGCAGTCAATGTCTAGTGCCTTTCTACTCTTGATGTCCTTCAGTGCCTTGGAAATGTCATCAGCACTGAAATCCCTTGACAGCTTGCAGTCTTCAGGGCAGGTGTGTTTCAAAATCTGGGGTTAAGAACATAAGAACATAAGAGACACCAATGTTGGATCAGGCCAAAGGCCCATCCAGTCCAACACTTTGTGTCACACAGTGGCCAGAAATACCAGTGCCATCAGGAGGTCCAGCAGTGGGGCCAGGACATTAGAAGCCCTCCCACTGTTGACCCCCCCAAGCACCAAGAAGACAGAGCATCACTTGCCCCAGAGCCCCTAGCTATACCTTGTGGCTAATATCCACTGATAGACCTCTGCTCCATATGCTTATCTAATTCCCTTTTGAAGCCGTCCATGCTTGTAGCCGCCACCACTTCCTGTGGCAGTGAATTCCATGTGTTAATCACTCTTTGGGTGAAGAAGTACTTCCTTTTATCCGTTCTAACCCGACCGCTCTGCAGTTTCATGGAGTGCCCACGAGTTCTTGTATTGTGAGAAAGGGAGAAAAGTACCTCTTTCTCTACCTGCTCTTTCCCATGCATAATCTTATAAACCTCGATCATGTCACCCCTCAGTCGTCTTTTCTCCAAGCTAAAGAGCCCTAAGCGCTTTAACCTTTCCTCATAGGGAAAGTGTTCCAACCCTTTTATCATTCGAGTTGCCCTTTTCTGCACTTTTTCCAAAGCTATAATATCCTTTTTAAGGTGTGGTGCCCAGAACTGCACACAGTATTCCAAATGAGGTCTCACCATTGATTTATATAGGGGCATTATTATATTGGCTGATCTGTTTTCAATACCCTTCCTAATAATCCCCAGCATAGCATTGGCCTTCTTTATTGCAGTCACACACTGTCTCGACATTTTCAGTGAGTTATCCACTACAACTCCAAGATCTCTCTCTTGCTCAGTCTCTGCCAGTTCAGACCCCATCAATGTGTATTTATATTTAGGATTTTTGGCTCCAATGTGCATCACCTTGCACTTGGCCACATTGAACCCCATTTGCCATGTTGACGCCCACTCGCCCATCCTTGACAGATCCCCTTGGAGTGCCTCACAATCCTCACTGGTTTTCACCACCCTGAACAACTTTGTATCATCCACAAATTTAGCCACTTCACTGCTTACTCCCATCTCCAAATCATTAATGAACAAGTTAAAAAGCAGTGGACCAAGTACTGATCCCTGCGGTACCCCACTGCTTACCACCCTCCACTGAGAAAATTGCCCATTTATACTCACTCTCTGTTTTCTATTAATTAGCCAGTTTTTGATCCATAAAAAGACTTGTCCTTCTATCCCATGATTTTTGAGCTTACTTAGGAGCCTTTGATGAGGAACTTTATCAAAAGCTTTCTGGAAGTCAAGGTAAACAATATCTATTGGATCCCCCTTGTCCACATGTTTGTTCACCCCCTCAAAGAACACTAACAGGTTAGTGAGACAAGATCTTCCCTTACAGAAACCGTGCTGAGTCTGCCTCAATAGGTTTTGTTCATCTATGTGCCTACTAATTCTTTCCTTAATAATGGTTTCCACCAATTTACCCGGTATCGACGTCAGACTGACTGGCCTGTAATTTCCCGGATCTCCTCTGGAACCCTTTTTAAAGATGGGAGTGACATTAGCTACCTTCCAATCCTCAGGAATGGAGGCAGATTTTAAGGAAATTTTAAGGGTTCTTTCAACAGTTTTTTCAACAGGCTCCAGGCTTTCCTTCTGGAATGCCTGCAATCCAAATTCGCAGTTGCTTC